CCGCTTGCTATCCCCTTCAGGTTCTGAGGATGAGTCTGACCCAGCTGCGCGCAAGAGGCTTAAAGTTTGTGGTACCGCACGTACACGTGATTCTGTCCGGGTAGAAGCTTGTGTCCGAGTTCGCAGTCCAGCACTTCCAAATTTACACGCTGGTTGTGTGGCACGTCATGCAAATCATCGATATCTGTGGACACTTCCAGAACCATACCGATTTGGATCAACATGTGTCGTTGGATCACGGAAGTACAGCATCCCCAGATCTTGGGACATTGACTGCTATCGACTCACAAGTGTCCAGCTGACAGAGTTATCAGCACTTTCCATGATCCTGCTGAATCTACCTCTGCAGAGCACAAGAACCTTTTTGGCAATTTGGCAACATTGCATTTGCCAGGTGGAAAATTTGATTCACGACTTCGGAAACCAAGTATGTGTGTTTAAAATTGGAATCAGTGCAAATGTGCCATACAGGATGGCCAAGTACAAGGAAGCAAATTTTGCAGAGATGCGGATAATTCATTGCTCCGATGATGCAAACATCGTAGCTGTTCTTGAAATCTTACTGATTGCATATTTTAAGGGGTTGCGTGGATGCCGAAATGTGGCTCCAGGTGGTGAGGGGAGCATGATCCACCGGTATCCTGATGGACCATATTTTGTGTACTGTGTTGGGGCCAGAGCTGATGGCAAATTGGCCATTGGAGGGTAGAAAAGATCTATATCGATGCTGATGTGATCGTCTTTTGTGCATAACAAATATAATCATTCTGATATCGATATATGTTGGAGTCTTTTAGGTAAGTACAGAACAAATGTGTTGAGTGGAGAACTTCAATCTGCAGCTTGCTGTGTGCATCACATTTTGATATCCTAATCGTAATTTGAACTTATACACTGTATACACATGTATACGCGTGCGATGTTCTGAGGTTCCAAAGAAGAAGAAGGATGATGCGAAGTCAGCATGAGCTGCTAAATTTGGGATGACATGTACAGACATGTCGCTTTTTCATGTGGGGGATCTTTTTGACCACAGTGTCAAGATTGGTATCTATATAGCTAGAAGATCTAGAGAGTTTGTGACCATGTGGCCGTTGGCACATAGACGGTGGAGTCTGGATCTTGGTTGAGTGCATATATATATATATGTATATTAATATATGTTGACATATATAAGTGTCGGCTTTTATATTATGTTGCACCTGCAGTGTGTGCGTCTGAAGACTTTATTTTTTTGTCGTACGGTTTTCAGAAATCCACTTCCGTGCCAGCCACGTGTACGTAGTTCCGTTTGGGCAAGGGTCTGAGAATGCTAGCTTTCCAGCTGAAAAGAACCTGGACTTCTCTTTTTGTCTTCAACCTGCAGCTTCGTCAAGTTGTGATGTGATGCACATTTATCCGGGCGTGCAGGCCTAAAAACTATATATAGCTCACACAATTATATCATGTGTGGAATGCTCAGGTGCTGACAGTTCTTTCTACAACCACTTGGAAGAGAAGATTGGAAATGGCGTCAGAGACCCAAATCGCAGTTTACAAATCAACTAGTTCTTAACTTAAACTCAGCTGATTCCTTGAGGAAAGTGTGGCGCAAGCATTAGCATCTGCATGTTGCGCGGCACAGGACACACGTTCTTTCATACCTGCAGTGCTCTTTCATGACGATAGTGATGGATGAATTCAGCATCAAACCTTAATATTATTTTAACTGCACTTGCAAGTTCAGCCTCTTGCATGCGCATCTTAACGTCTCCAGCAAAGTGACCAAACTTACAATTTGCTTCCAGGAATGCAACTCTGGTGGTGCATCGATGAGTGCAGGCACATCCCGACTCAATCACATTGGGTCTGGGGTGAACCAATCACGTAGGTTCTGGAAACAGGCTCAAATGCCAGTGGTTCCTTGGACAGAAATTACATGCACATTACTTGAACAACAATTTATAACAGCATAAAACAACTGTACGTTTGTTGGGGTAGAAGCGCCAGAATGCACACATTCTGTGAACGCCAACATCGATCCCAGGACTTGGTGGAAATCCATGCCCCGATTGATCGACGAGAGCTGGGAGAAGGAACCCCAACCGTTCCCATCCCAGTCGTGAACCTGCTCTCCCTTATACAATACCTCTTCAATGATTTTGGAATATTTGTGCCTGAACAAAACCTTAAGCAGTTCTGGCAACACATCAAGGAAAACTTTCCTTGGGGTGAGAGGCACCCTGCTGTGGATTCCGCTGCCCACATCCCGCTGGGCCTTCACGGAGATGATTGCAAGTACAGCAACCTGCACACTGGTGCGCCAGAAAAGGTACTGGTGATCTCATGCAACGTTGTGTTGTGGTGTCCTCGCACTACCAGATCATCACGTTTTCCTCTATGTGCCATAAGGGACAAGGATTGCTTGGGGCCCCGTACACTGTTTCCGATCTTGAGATACATTGCATGGGCATTTAATATTTTATGGGATGGCTACCTGCCGTCAACTGGCCACGGCTTTGGTGGAGGAAAGTTGCCCCCAAATCTTTGTGTATCTGAACCTGGAGCCCGTGAGTTTTTGACAACTGGTCAACACCGATTTTGCTTGACTGAAGTCAGGGGAGACTGGTCATGGTTGGTGTACTTCTTCAATTTCCGAAACCGTTGGACGTCAACAGAAATCTGTTGGAAGTGCAGGGCTCAGGGAAGGCGTGCTAACAACATCCTCCAGGATTCCTATTTGGATTTCTCGGACACAGCCACGTGGAGGCAAACGGAGGTGACTCATGTGGAGTGGCTCAACACGATGTTGAAACGTGGTCCAGCTTGTGGCCTGCTGGCAAGTTCGAGTGTCGCAAATTTAAAGGTTTCCACTTGTCTGATATTCAGGTTCCAATAGCGTACGCACGCATGTGTTTTGCCACCGGGCGACATGTACAAGTCTCATATCAGGTCCAATTGTTGGAATCATTGGCTTCGAGTACAGGATGATACGTTTTTGTGCTGCACACAATGTGCATATCGGAACATTCCAGCGTACCAATGCTGGAGCCATGTTGCTAGGATGCATTCCTTTTTTAACTTTACCTGTCACCTGTGCGCCTTTAGATTTCCAGTGCAGCATATAGTGCAGCAGCCTAGCTGGAATTGAATGCACTGAATACACATTCAGGCTGGCGTTATGGGAGGCTGGTTTTTGGTGCCCGGCAACGACATCATTTGGTGCTGCACTGAAGTTTGCATTTCAGCACTTCCAAGCATGGAAGAAACAGCACAGAATCACATGCAGTCAGCAATGCTTCACACCAGGACTTGTAACTCAGTTGCACCAAACAAATGAACGCTAGATACTGCATATGCGTATGAATTGCTTTGAGAGTGTACATATGCCCATGTTTTTGTACTGCCTCCACCGCCCCAGGTTTTGAACCAAGGCTCTGAACCGTGGATGACGTGTAAGATGTACAACGGCAGGGTCATCGCGGCGTGGTTGGCACAGTGTGCATCAGACCTAGCACAGGTCAGTCCTACGGAGGAGAATATCTTGATGTCTGGTTGTTTGCCAGGCCCTCAACACTATATAAATGTGCAGCTTTGATTGGTAGATCACTTTGCCAAGTGTGCATAGATGTTTAGCTAGCCCAACAGTGCCTTGTGTAGAAATTCCACATCCCTAGGGTGGCTGGAAACAATATGATCTTGGAGATTGAGAAAGCCGGTCGCTATTTGCCCACTCCTAAGTCCCAAATTCATATCACTAATCAATATATATATGGAGAGATTTGTTGTTGGCAACCTTCAATTTTCAAGGTTCTTGGGACACTGCATTCCACACGCGACAGTTTAGTTGTTGAGGAGCGAAAATGAAGCTGGCATTATCAAGAAGCATGGCTACGCATACCTCAATCTATGGAAAGCTTTGGCACACAAGACTTTGAGGCTAGATAGATGTTGAGTACAAATCTCTCTCTCTCTCTCACTCCCTCTCCACTCCTGCCTTTGTCAGGCGAGGAGTGCTTCGCTGGGTAATCATCCCCAAATGCCATGTGCTCCAGCTGCACACGAGTTGGGCAGAAAGTTTAGATTTAGATCTGAAAGTTTTGAAAAATCGTGTTTTCTAGATCTGCTCCTTAAAGCTAGCCCAAGGGACTGCACCACCAGTTGCTGGAGATGGAACAATTCAGTGCCTTGGCTTATGGTCTAAGCATGAAACCTCCTGAAGTGGAAAGAAAATGTCAAGCCCAGCTCCGCTGGGCTAGCCTGATACCTGAGGGTACAATTGCCGTTTTGAACATTGTATGGCAGATGAAGATATGATGAAGTACATCAAGGGAACCTTGGATATCAACAGGGTGCCCTTGAATTCTGTAGGTGTGAATTTTGCAGTTTTTATATCACACCAGATGCAACTTTAGTTTTTTTTCTAGTGCTTCATGCTGGTGGCCAAGGACTATGCCGCTATGCTCACAAGTTCACCTTGAGCCGAAGCGTGTTGAACAGGTCCCTTCTGAGGCTCAAAGGAGCAGGTAAGAAGATCAAGAAAATTGGTCTGAAACGGGAGCATTCGCTGAAGATGTAAAAAGCAGACGATGCTGGATTCAGCGAGCGACTGTGGAATACGGCGTCGAATGAACGTCTGGGTATTCAACACAAGGCTGGTTGGCTGGTTGCGTTCTGTTTTTTCTTTGAGCTGAAGGCCTGTCATCGTGTGTATCCTCTTTTTTTTTCATTGGGATATAGGATGATATATAGGCTATAGAGGTTGTGTTCCAATGATTTGGACTTCATGGAGCCACCAGCAGTCCTCGAGTTGATGGCACGCAAGACTCATCCGACCAGCATTTGGAGGTGTCCTTTCACGCAAGTCAGCCAAATCCACTAGCCATACCAACACTGAGAACAACCAAAGAGCCATATTAAAACTAGACGTGCTGGTCATACGGTTTTTACCTCATGATTTAATATTGCCAAAAGGGCTGCTGTGAGCTGGGGAAGCACCGCCCGGCTCTCCGAAAGCGGAGGCGACCTTCACAGTGCATGTGCTGCCCAAGGGCCACCCGCCGCCTCCGCCCGAGCTGTTGGCCTCCCTTCCGGCGGTGGCACCGTTGCAAGGAGCCGGGATGCCTGTCTCGGCAAACAGGGTCGGCAGGGTGTGTTTTTTTTCTTTTTTTTCTGCGCCTCTAAAAACGAAGGGCCACCGTGGTTTTTTTAGACTCTTGAGAGCTTAGGTGGGTCGGTGTGGGTTGAACACAGAAATTGGAGCTTGGATGCTTAAGTGGTCCTTTTCAATTGCTTGTTTCAGGAGCGTGCATTCAAAGTTGTGTTTGGGGCGGATAGTTCACGCCCTGACATAATGAATCTCGTTTTTCGTTTCGTTTCGGAGTGACAGAAATCCCCAAATCGCCCGGTGGGTGGGGGTTTGTCTCCTTCTCCTTCTCCGTTTCAGGTTCTGGTCGCTCCACCGGAGCAAAGTCTCATGCTCGTCAAGGACCCGGAGGTGGGCCCGAAAGCGAAGCGGGTCGCGAGGTCGCGGGTTGCGAGGTCGCGCCCCGACTCTGGCGGTGTTGGCTTTTAGGACTTTGAGGTTTCTTGGCTTGAAAGCAATTTGGTTGCTGTAAGGAGGGCTCCCGAGGGCTCCAATCAATTCAGGTGTTGCTTCAGCTCATAACAACTTCCATGCGGTGCCACCCAAGTTTGTGTCACCTGCAATACTATAAAGCCCTTCCTTTTGCACATCTCAATTGCCACCCCGGTCAGAAGAACCCATGTACATCAATAGATTGTCGTTGTTTTGCAATTTATGATCACTGAACTATACTGAACTTGTTCCCTATTTTGTTTAATGAATTGTTCATTGTGTTCCGTTGTTGTGTCACTTTGTTCACCTGTTGACATTGGACTTTTGGCTCCTGTTGCTACCCGTATGTATGTAGCACATAGGTTACTTTTTTTTTGAACAGCATGTTGCCAAACGTTCATGGCAACTGCCAAGTACAAGATTCACACTCTCATGTTCCTCGCTCCCCTTTGATATACTGTATCAGGTTTTGTTTACAATTCAAGCTACCTCATGCCAGAAAACAAGAAAAAATCAGAACTGCATCAAAACTGGGCTCGCGGCCTCGCTTGCAGCTCGCGACACAAATTCTCTTCCCATTGGCTCGGCGCAAGCTCTGGAGGAGTGGCGCCGTTTGGCCACTCTAGGCTCTGTGGCACCGGCGCCCTCAGGTCGGGCGGTGTAGCAAGAGGGATCAGTCCAATGGGATGGCCTGGGGCACCCAAACCGATGGAACAGGATGTTTCAGGATGTTTCAAACATGGTGGTCAGTGGCCACTCTTCAAAAAGCCCGACACTAGATGCCTCTAGATTCTACAGCAGGAACAAGTGTGCATGCTGCAGCATGCCTCGCCTCTTAACATGTTTTTTTTTGTTTTATGACACAGCGAATCATACCTTCGGTCTATTGAGGGTCAGATTTGCTAAGTGTGTTTGGCGGCAGCAAGAGCATGACCTTAATTTGTAATACCTTGGGTTTGTCCTTTTACCTGTAACTGTCAGAAAACAATGATTACAATTTTTGAACAAGGCCTTTACTAACCATCATTATCCACTGTTACAGGTACTAGGATAGACATAGACCCAACTAATACCCACAAGGCTTTCAGGTGTGGATACTCGTCTAGCACAAGATGTTGTTGCACACATGAAACATGTTGGATTATCAGGGGGGGTTGTTGTACACTTTCGCAACGTATGAATATACTCAACCAGTTTGCTCTTCTGCTCGGAAGCCAAAGACATATGCACACTTCAGGTAACCAACCAAAAAGACAGGTGAAACAAAATGTCACCCAACCAAAATATTTACAGTAATCACATGCCATGCTGTAAATGGACCAAGTGTATAAGGAGTAGATGCACTCTTTTCCATTGTTAAATCTCCAAGCATTGAAAGCTCGAGACGGAGGATTCTGCATGGGGGATACAAGATCAATGAACACCCCCCAATGCTGCAGTCAAAAAAAAAATGATCAGGCAATCCATTGTAATCCAAGCACATTTGAGGCGTTGAGCTGGCAGAGCCCCGGAGTTGATCTTCAAAGAGATGAGAGGTTTGCACCAGGATTTGACCTTTAGCAGGTCCCAGAATGCACAGTCCTGTTCAAAAGGTCGAGAAAAGGACCAGAATCACCACAAGATCAAACGAATCGACCGTAGGCATGGTCACCGCCGTCACCGCCTACGTGCCTGCCTCACGGGAGGCGACTTTGCACGTTTGGCCACAGGGTCCTTCACGCTGAATCCGCGGGAGCAGATTAGCTGCTAGGCCCAATAAGGACGACGGGTTAGTAACAGGTGCCTTACTAGTAGTAACAAGAAGCTAATTTAATTTACTGGGTTAGTAGGTTTTGCAGAAGCCGTCACCAAATCAGCACACGGAGGTCGCACGGCTGTTTTTTCGGGGCCTGCCAGCGAAACTTTGGGACTAGTTCCTGAAACCTTTCTGGGGTCTTGCCTGTATAGATGCCTCCTACTGAGAAGTTCACTGAGGTCTTCTGATTGTTGGAGGTATGGGAAGCTTCATGTGACCTCAGGGATTCTAGGGCTTGCATGTAGTGGCATGTACCGTACGTGTCCATAGAGGACATGTTCGTCGGGCTGCTGGTTTGGTCTTTCGTTGGCGGTTGACTTCATACGTGACTCATCGTGACTCAGTACCCTTTCGGCCAAACGGGTTGGACAGATGGGATCAAGTGGGAAAGCCAGTGGGTCATTTGATGCTGTTAGTTTGGAACCGACCACCCTTTGGAAGGTAGGTTCCCCTCCTGAATTCCCAAAGCTTCTCTGGGGACTTTTGAAGCAGAAGCTGCGCAAAGCGAGCTCTTTTTTATTCAGGGCAGGCGGCTTCCCTTGGATTGACAAGTTTGCACCTCTTCATGGTAAGTCGCATTGAATTGGCACTCAGTGTCCTGGACATTTTGCTGCTTGGCATTCCAGATTCATGAGTCATGAGTTTGTCTTGGATGTTTTCAGATACAGCAGCTGTGCTGCCCAGGCCTTCCCTTTCGTTACCTGGACTTTGACTTCCCCAACTTGGACGCAACACCACAGCAGGCCTTTGGCAGCCGACGACTCCCGGTTTCATCGCTGTTTTCAAGGACAAGTACTGCATGTTGCGCGTGACTTCGAAGGTGTTTGGAAAGATATATTGTTACGACTTCCAATGTTTGGAACCATGGTGTATTTCTCATGTAACATCAAACAACGTCAAACAACTACCGGGATTCCGGGATGGCACAGATTCTTTTCATCCCTAGCTCTCCAGCTTTGCCAGGCTGTCCTGCTTCGCCTGCCAGAGCTTGCGCAGCAGGTGGCGCCTAATGCCAAGGACTTCCTCGTCGAGGTGTGGAAGGGGATGGATGTGGGATCGAGTAATATATTGGATAGGTGTACACACAACCTCATACGGTACTCATACGCCCAAAAGCATCCAACTGCCATCATAATACTTGCTTGTGTGTGTGTTTGTTTTGAGGAGTTGTATGATGTAGTGGCAAGAGGTTGTGCTCAGACATTGCTCAGACCTGTTTCACCTTCAGATGTGTCTTTTTTCATACACTGGAGGTTTGTTGCAGGGGACACGGCGGTCCCAGAGCACCAAACACATCGTGACGCTCCCAAAAAAGAAGACGGCCCCTACTGGGAGGGTTCTTTTGTCAATCTGATGGGCGACGCAGACGGAGTTGGAACTTCCATCCTTCGCCTTTCAACCCGGTCCGACCGGGCCTTGGGAGCGACCGGGCATGTCGACCGGGTCGGATGGAACAGGTGGTGCTGCACCAGGGACCTGTGCTGCGGAGGGTGGAGGCGGAGAAAATGGGTGAGTCGGAGGAGAAGTACCGGCAGTAGTACAGTAGTACAGGCTTCCTATTTTGTTCCTTTCAGGAGCGAAAAATGAGCAAACACAAGTCCGTGTGATCATTCGGAACAGTCTTCCCTAATGAAAAGCCAGGAACCATGAGGTGTTCAATGAATCCTGTGCGAGATGTGTGTATTGGTATTGTTGTAGGATTTTGTGGGATTTGTTGTATACATATTTGTCATTGTTTTGTTGTCCATCATTTCGGCTGAGTGGTTGACACGTTCCAAAATCTGCAGACAGCACTCCTACACTCGGACTTTTCTCTCAGTGTTTGTTTTGGAGGTGAAGTATCGAAACGGAGGAACACTTCCAGAGGTTTGCTGGTGCGCCTCCGACCTAGAAGCGGCCTCCATCCTAATAGCGATGGCCCTCCAACTAAATAGGATGGCCCTCCAACCAGAGACGAAAAAGGGTTCAAAGCCTTTTGCGCTCGGTCGACGGATGTGTGCATTTTTGGGATGTGGAGGACCAATGGTGTTTGGTCTATGTTCCTTCTTCCAGGGGGGTTGAACTGGGAGGTCTCCATATACTAACTAATCCAAGTGTACTTGAAAAGAACAATGATGCTATCAGTAGGATGAGTCGAAACTGTCGCTTTTCCGAAGCATTTGAGCTTGCCTATCTACTATTTACTGCAGAGGGTCCTAACCGAACCTTTCCGGTTGGAGTGGCTACCCCAAATCATGTTTCATCTATCAACAACTGGTAACATCGGGATAACATCGGGGTCCATGTGGATCTTGGCTGGGACAATCAATAAGCCCCACACTGAAGGCTTTGGACGCTCTGGGCGTTTCAACCTTTGCATTTGTTTCATGATTCATGAAGGGTGACAGTCATTGCAGCTCCAATGAAACTCGTGGCACCGGCATCATGAAGGGGCATCCTTCGAGGTCACTGCGGTGCCCCAGCCCAGCGTGGTCGATCGGAAGATCCGCTACTTCGAGGCCGGGGGGGTGGCATTCGGAAGGTCCGTCCGTCTGTCCGTCGGTCCACGGCAGACAGAGCGACTCAGTCGCTCTGTGAAACAGCGTGTGGTGTCGGAGAGGGGCAGAGGAGAGTTTCCGAAACGGGAAGGTCACCGGGCAAGATTTGACTCTATGAATCACTGGGGGCGCAGGGGACTTGATCTACAGTTTAGCTGGGAACGGGAAGTTTCTTGGGCATTCTGCCCCTGAGCTCTTTTGGGCGTTCGATGAAGACGTGTTATCCTACCGCGAGTTTTTCGCAGTTTGGAAGTTGATTTCTGTTGACGATATTGGAAGGAACAACAAGGTGTGTTTCAGTCAGTCTTTGCCCCCGAATGTGCCAGGCTGAGGGTGCTGCTGTGGAGAAGGCATGCCTTTTGCCCGCCGGGGGGAGAAGACGAGGGGACCGAAGCCATGAGCCATGAACGGTCCACAAGGACTTCCGTCTAAAGGTGTGGGTGATTTCTTTTGGTTGCAGTGGATCGAGTCGTCACTGTGGCCAGTGGTTCTGGTGTATAAATCAAACACATAATATATGTAGTAGACTCAGTAGACATCAAATGTAGACCTTCAAACCCTGATTCCCCAACAGATCGAATGGATTTGGCTTGGGTGATAGACCGGACCTAGTACCGGATGTTCTTTATCGAGCTGATCCTGGCAGCCAGTGGGTTCAAGTTTGGACTTGAGTCGAGATGCTGATGAAAGACCAGTTTTCATATGTTTTCATGTTTTCGTCCACAGATCTTTGAGAACCCCCCCACCCAGAAAGCCCTCCACAAATCTCACCCCCCTTCTGGTCTGTTCTCTTTCCGAACTCAAATGAACTCATGAGAAACTTGTTGAAGGAAATCTCGCCTCCTTCCATCTCCTCACCTAGTTACAATCCACTTCTGATCGAAGGTCATGGCCTTGCCGCCTGTGCCGCCCTCGTTGGACCCACCCAGCCGTGGCACAGCGTGTGTCGTTCAGACGGGGTTTTGGGTTCAGACGGGTCTATTCCAAAGGCCCCATGAAAAGTGAACGTGATTTCATGTACATTGTACTATCGTTTGTAATTGTTTGTTTTTGAACAAAAGACATCATGGGAATCATGCTTTGTTTGGCTCATGAGGGTCCATGCACCTCCCAGAATGGTGATTTCGCTTCCCGGAGTTGGGGTCATCGTACTTGTTAGATTGTGAGTTGTTCAAATCAGTCTGTGTCCGGAAGCTCCAAGATGGAAGTTGTTCCAGAAGCTACAATTTTCACCTCTCTGGTGGGCAGTAAGGACCTTAGTTCTTTTTTTTGGATGAGGAAGCAGAAAGATCAGAGGATCATGTGAACATGTGGATTGTGGATGATCCTGTATTTTTAAGACAGGCACATGGTCACGGTGCCTTTGTAAGATTTGGGTCATAGGCTTTGAGACACACAATGTGGTTGTGGCTCCAACCACAGGACCCAGGAAACTAAAGGCCGTAGTTGTTTTTTTCACGTGGATTTGGCATGATCTCTTTGTGCCATAGCCATAGATGCCATAGCAGCTATAGCCACAGCCATAAACCTTGTCGTGAAAAGCGCACGACTCCAGCTACTAGGAACAAGGGCATCGCTACTAGTAGCCACTATGAACAAGAAGCTACTAGTAGCAAGGACGCTACTAGTAGCTCCTGGCCTTACTACGTAAGAAGAAGCCACTAGTCACAAAGGGCATCGCTTTCCTCACGTAGCGATCGGACGACTCCTGGCTTTGAGGTCTTCCTCAGGGACTTGCTTTGCCTACTGCACCAGCAGAGATGCGCCTCGGCCGCCGTTCGCGCAGACCGCTCCGGCTCGAAGGCTCGGTGTGGAGTCACTGTCGGTTGGCCGAGTTAGATGGCACAAGTACTTGTGCCTCCAGGATGTCTCTCATTTGTTTTGGGGTCCATGATAATAATATGTAAACCACCGAACTTGGCGGCCCAGACGTGGCATCGAGCCTCTGAAAACCATGCACTATATGCCATGTCTTCAGATTGTCCCGCCTGTCGCGGAGTTCAGGGGGGCTTTGTGTGGTGAGTTTGGATAAGTCTGGATAGGATGGGGTCTAGTGATTCTCGCGCTGCAGTGGAACATATAGTAGGCAACCAGGGTTTGACATCTGCGTGTTTTGTCTTTGGAACACTGATTTCTACCTTGGCTGCACGGTTCTGACCGACCAAATCGCTGAAAACCGCCGCCTGCAAAGGTACACATTCAACGCCGGGATCAGGCAAGATTGGGGAGGGTTTCCAAGCGACAAAACCATTGTTGAGCCAACGCAGGTTTTCATGATGCTGAACATGTATGAACAAGCTACATGTTGCTTTGTTTGGCGTTGCTGTTTGAAGTAACAGTGGAACCGGAGCTTTGGGTGAACCCTGATTATCCTTTCAAGCATGTCCACAATAATGCGAATAATGATAGGTCACAAATGGCTACACAAACTCGGTTTCAATCATCAGATTCTCGCCAATTTCGCTCTTTTCGCTCATCTCATGCGACTCACCCTCCAACCAACATGGAAGTGGAAAACCGCCTGTTTCTAGAGAGGAAAAAGTATATGTTCCGGTCACGAAAAAACATAGCCATGTAACATCACATGATCATGATTCCTTTGGGCTCATCTCCTGATCACCGGCTCGTCTCCTTTGGGCTCAGCGGTTCCCGCTGCGCTCCGAGCTGCGGGCGCCATGCAACTCTCGCGTTCGGAAGCGTCACTGACGCGGGCGCCCGGAGCTGCGGGAGCTGCGCCGGAGCCGAGGGCTCTCAACGCGGGCGTGCGGGTGGGGCGTGCTGGTGGCCCTGTGCGCAGTGGAGTTGGAGAGGAGAAGCATGAGGAGGCCAGTGGGCTTGGCTGCTGTGTGCAGGAGATGTGGGATGTCTGGGTTGAAATTGTTTTTTACGCTTTGTGAATGTGACATTGTAGTTCTTTTGCAGGGATTTCAATCGTTTTGCTGTGTTTGCTCACCATGCAGAGGTAGACAGGGCAATGATACTGGTATTGATTCCTGTCAATTACAATCAATTACATACTGCAACATTCTGGAACCAGCTCACCACCGCGATAGAACCAATCACAGGTGCCAGCTGCGGCTCAGACCGTCCGTCTCCGTCGTCGGTCTCCGTCGGTCTCCGTCCCCGTCGTCTTCGGGTCCCGTGCCGAGGTGCTTTGGAAGATGCAGCGACAACTGCAGAAGGCGGAGACGATGCTCTCAACCTGTGACTTGCCGTGAGGTTACCTGAGATGAGGCATGACATGGAAAATTGGTGGGTTTGAACCATTCAATGAACCATCAGTAAGTAGTTAGAAATAGGGAGGCAGGCACTCCAGCTCATGAGTTTGATTGTTCAATTTTAGTTTGCTGCAGCCAAGCACAGAACATGGGTGGAAGAAACGTCCACTGAAGCAGAAGGCCAGATGTCAAAAAAAGAGAACAAACAAACAACCAAACAAGCAAGCAAGCAAACAAGCAAGCAAACAAACAACGTGACATGCCAGTCTTCCCGACCATCTCAACTGGAAGACCATAAGATTGACATCTCATTATGACATGCAAGGGTCCTGTGACATCGGCTGGTCAGTCTTGAATGACGACTTATCAATGGGAGTTGGGAATGTGTCTGTTGAAGCTGCAGGATGGTGTGATGTTGGGAGCAGCCGAAGTATGATAGAGTTTCATGAGATGTTGGTGTGTTGTAGTGGCCGTCAAGGATGTTCGAGGATGTTTGACTCATGACCTTTCTGTTCTTAGAATATATTGATGATCTGAGGATGATGGGCTCCAACACTTGCCTTCGGATCAGTATGCTCCGAACCCCCAACCAAGAGTGGGTCATGAATTCTTAGGGAACCTTCCTACGCATCATGGTAAACTACTGCCTTGCAAACTGCAAGGTGTCAAATAGGACATAAATGATGTGCCCATCCAGTGCAAGGTGTCAGGGCACAGAAGTGCTTGGTGAATTCAGCGGTCGTGTTTGACCCGGGACCCAGATGGTCGCCTCGCAGTTGTTCGCCAAGTCGTCAAACATGACTCGACCCGCATCGATCCGAAAGAGAGACAACCAAAGCAATCTACCTAAAACCCACTGATAGTGCATCCTTTGAACACCAATAGAACGTAAATGCAGTTACCGTTGGTTCCGAGGTGCACATCCAGAGCCGGTCAAACCTTGACAAGCTGATTTCATCCTCAAAGTCCGTTGATCCGTAGGGCATGTCGTCTCCCATATATGTGCGGCCGAGGCATGCAGACAGTGGAAGCCGCTTGGGAGATGTCGGCGCAGAAGTTGGCAAAGTTTGACGAGCCGCTTTGCAATGTTTCGATGGAGGGCATTGGTGGTGGTGGATCTTGTGTTTTTGGTGCAAGGGCAAGGGGCGATGTTTACCAGTTTTTAAGTATTACCTTTAATATGCCTTTTGCCGTATGTTGAGCATTTGTTGATGCTTGTGGAGAGATGTTTGCTAAGGTGTTGCATAAAAGGGTTTTTGGAGTTGGGAGATGATGAAATGCATGCGCAGCAAGGGATCCAGGTCGGGTAGGTTCTGACGTGCAAAAGGGGAGCGAGTCTTCGACCATCCTCGACCCGGGTGGGAAGTCCCCTTTGAAGTCTCACAAGTTTGGGGAAAAAGATGGACACATTGAGGAGATATCATTGATTTTGGCGATGGATAGCAGTTATTGATCACCAGCACCAAGGCTGTGTCAATTTGACGACCCACCGTGGCCAGCAAAGACTGCAGGTTCGGCTAGAAACACATCCCCTTTGCAAACCTCTTGGCCATGGTGAAACTTGTGGGCGGTGTGAATCTCTTCCTACATAACAAAGTACAGATGTCATAGGAACCGTAGCAGGTCGGATTCCCCCCAATGGTCAACCTCCACCTTTGTGGGGGATTTGTTATTTCTTCTATATATATATATATAGTCGCTGAATATGTGGGATTGGACGGTGGACGTTAAAGGAATCCGAAAAGGTCAGTCTATCTGACAGAACTGCGCCACCGCGCTTGGATCTAGCCACAAAAAAATTACTCTACTTCGAGGCGATTTGTTCGGATTGACACGATGTTCTGACGCTTGTTCTGGCATCAAGTCCGGTTTGTGCTCTGACACGTCATCTATCATACAGGCTGGGAAATGTTCTGGACTGTTCTGACATCTCTGACATTTTTTCTGTCTGACATGTGATGTGACATGATGTGACACATGGATCATCTTCAGTCCTGGTATGTGTTCTGCCATCAAAGATTTCCTGGCACTCTATCTGGCACAAAATCGGACATTGTATATGTCATATGCTCTGAGTTATATCTGGCGAAATTTCAGGCATTCTATGTACCATTGCTGTCTACTTGGCATATATTCTGACATTCAATCTGGCAAGGTCCGGCGGTGCTCACTGCGATCAGGAGCTGACGGTTGAGGTCCGGCAGTGCCCACTGTGATGTGGAGCTGGCGGTAGAGGTCCGGGAGTGCCCACTGCGATCTGGCGCTTGCTGTTGAGGTCCGGTAGTGCTCACTGCGATCCGGCGCTTGCTGTTGAAGTCCGGCAGTGCCCGCTGCGATCTGGCGCTTGCTGTTGAGTTCAGCCAGTGCCCACTGCGCTCTGGCACATGCTGTTGGAGTCCGGTAGTGCCCACTGCTTTCACGCACTTGCAGTTGAGGTCCGGTATAGCGCCAACTGCGATCATGCACTGCATGTGCAATATTTGAGGTATAGCCCATTGCGATCTGGAGCTGGCAGTTGAGGTGCGGTAGTCAAGAAGACGAGGACACCAGAAGAGGAAGGAGAAGAGCTCTGATAGATCCAACAACCCTCACCTGCCAGGTGGGGAGTCAAGAAACAAGCAAGCTGCTTGGCCCTTGCTAACCGCTCACTTCCTTCTGCCTTCTTCGCTTCATCAGGAAGCTGTCCGAGTTGGATGGCCGACTCTTGCTCCTCAATGACAAGCAGCAATTGGATGCGGCCTCGCTGTCCGTGAACGCGCTCCCCGCAACGCCGTCCATGGAGCCCCTCACTGTGGTCACTCGATTGGCGGCGTCGAGTGAGCAGCTTTCACCAGGACGAAGCGGAACAGAGGGCCTGTGTTGGCTTGAGGAGTTTGAGGACATGTGAGGACCATACTTATTTGCGCCAAAAGCTTCATTATTGAGGATATGTTTGGCTCGGTTTAGGTCGATCATAACTCTGGTGCCCTCAATCTTGCATCTTCGCAACAAAAAACTTCCCAGCACCTCCCTGCATCCACCTTCCCCTTTACACCGCCAAGGCGTCGAAAACCGCGCCGGTGCCCAGCGACCTGTTCCACCACAGTTCGCGGCTGAGTTCGCTGGAGAATCGCGTCGTGGAGCTGCAACAGCGCTTGGACGCCACCCCCAGCTCCCACGTCCAGGACCGGGCGACGGGCGGGCAACGGGCCGGACCGGTTTCTCCTCGGTGAGGCGCTCGTTGTGGACCATGTGGTGTTGTTTTGGAAATGGTTGGTTTCAGCAAGAGGGCAAGCACCTAAACCTATATATATATATTTTGGATATAATTTGGGTCTGTCCTATTACCTGTAACAGTCGGTAAACAATTATCAATAAAAAAACAAAACATGAGAAAACCCTTTACTAACCATCACCCATTGTTACTGGTAGTAGGATAGACCCAACATATACTGTATTTGTGAATCGTTTGTTGCAACTGACAGTTGCAACTGACATACGTGGAAATCGACCATATGTGTCAAAATATGTCAACATTGCCTTGTTGAAGACATTGCAGCTGACAATAGACAATTGGGGATCAGCATGATGAGAGCCAAAAACCGACAGACTCATAGAACACACCAAGTATCTTGGAACATGGGCACAAGATGGCACAAAATGTATATACAGTTGTTTTTTGTTTGGGTCATACCCCATTTTCCAGGTTTGGAGCTCAAAAAATTGTAAATCACCTCCCTCCATCACCCACTTAGGACCCACTTCAACCTGATAGCACTGCAGCATTGCCCATCATAGGACCAAAGGGTACCCGTTGGACAAAAGCTTCCTAATTAGTGACATCCAGCGTATGAAGACTCCAGAAGCTTTCCGGAGTTCTACCCAGCCAGGTCTCGCCGACCTTTGTCAACACCATCCCCTGCCTGATCCCAGCCAATCGCCTCCATACCCGATTTGTCAACACAAGCACCACATGAGCAAGTTTCAATCCTCGCTGCAATCTACCCCCGATTCAACTTGTCGACTGGTCAAACCTCACCCCAAAAAAAGAGCTACATACCAATTCCAAAACTCACCGCTAAAATTTCTCCCCCGGTCCCATTGATATACCTATGAAGCCAACACCTCATTTGTTTTGTACTTTTTGGGCCATATCGCCAGGATGAGCGGAAGCAGATGGAGAGCCTGGACTTCCTCAACCATCGCATCGCATCGCTCTCCGAGCGCCTCAGCGCCGAGGCCAAGGTCCGCGAAGCCCAGTTCCGACGCCTGGAAGCGCTGCTGTCGCTCGGACGGTTGGAGCGGATGGAGACGGTGGTTTCAAGTGTTTTCTATGGGTTTTCTGGACTTGCACACGTCATCATGAATCATTATTCTCATCTCTGAAATTCAAAATGCATAAAATTATCGCAGGGGGTGCCCGGGATGCAACACTGGACTGGCAACAACGAAGATGACATCTGTGAAATCGATCCGGGATGCTGGACCGATGTACCTGCCTGGTGTTTGGCACTAAAGGTCTGATGCAGTAAAGCGCCAAGTTCACTCACCGAATACTTAATGTGCGATGCTCCTTCCGAGCTTCATCTCAAACAAGGGGGAGTGGGTTTGCCTTTGAGGATGAACACTACTTCAACCAGAAGAGGTTGATTTCGGGGACATATTGTTTTGATTCATTTTCGAGGTTCAAGGAGATTCACAAACTATTCTGTTCAAGACGGGTCAAGGGCTTTGATCTAACACGAGTTCGTGCTATGATGGGCACCTTGCAGCCACTTGCAGCCTATTGTATACCGCATAGCCGCATATCAATCATTCCAGCTTGCTGGGACGGCTGCCTGTGTCTCGTCTATGTTGTTTCTCCGAAACAGATTCCTCCCCTCCCACGATCCGCTCCTCACTCCCAGGCTGAAGCCGGCGCCCGCGGCGCCCGTGTCTGCTTCGCCCCTGCGGGCGCACAGTGTGGACCACACGCAGTCGATGCCTTCCCTGCCGAGCCGGAACCTCTTCTTGGAGGCAGAAGCTGAGCTGTGGGACGTTGTGGAGAAGAATCCGGCAAAGGGACAAAGAGACGATTGGACTAGTGGGGGTATAAGGTGTGTGTTGTTTGATCCAAAGACCCCAAGCTAGTGCAAGATGAACTTCCTTGGCCAGTGGATGCTAGTAAGCTCGTTTTCTTCGACAAGAGCAGTTTGCTGGATGATATGGGGTGTTTGATTTACTGCCTAGTGGCTGCTGCAGCTCAACAATGGTTGTCCCGGATCCAAGGGATACATTGGCACATGAATTGAATGGTCCAATTGTTTTCTATACCGAGGCTTGGGGGTGTCGCACATCGTCTCTTACACAGTCAGTGGTAATGTTTTCTGGTGGGATTTGCTCATCAGATTCCAGCTGTTTGTCATGAGTAAAGATACCACGGAAGACAAGTCCTCCTCCTCCTCCGTCTCCTCCTCCTCCTCCTCATCATCATCATCATCATCTCCTTGGATGGGCAAAGCAACCGGCATGCATCTAAGATGTTTCTCAACGCTGAAACCTCTCGGACCGAAATCCCAATCCGTGGGTCGGTCCACGTGGGTCGGTCTCGGATCGCCAAGTCGACCAACTGTGAGGCGATGGAACCCAAAGTGGAACCCACGGCAGCGGTGCCGGGTTTCGAAATGCGGGGGACCGGGAAAACACCAGGGAGGAGCGTGTGGGTTGGACCATCCATCCACTTGAGGTGAAATCCTTTGCAATAGTTTCTGCGAAAGTCTACAGGCTGACAGCTCGGCATCGGAATGTTTTAGTTCAACGAACGTCAAACTGGACTATCCCTGCTTAGTGGTGACGAGAGTATCCTTCCCTGTTTTTCTGTGTTTTTTTGTTTTGCACGCTCAAGTGTTGAGGCTGTTTCTGGTTGTGAAACTCTTGTCTTGTAGGAGAGGGAGGGCATCACCTGCACAAACCTTGAAGTTTCACAGGTCAACAGTTATTGACAGTCCACAACAAGGGTTAGTGGGGTTTGTCGAAGCATTGTAGCTTCCATTTCGGAGGTGAGAATAAGCGACCACACGTTTTTTGTCGACAACTGTCCAGATGATCCCCAGGCTTCATGACCTTTCAAAGCTCCAAACCAATCCAACAGAATCAGAGTCTTTCGAGAGTCGACAACACCAGACTTTTCAGGTCTTGCCGCAACGCATTCTTCGCCCTCGCTTCAGGTCTTGCCTACCTTGCCTCACTCTGTTTCTCCGTCTCCGACCCGGCGGCCCTTCACGCCTCACGTGACGCCGCCCGGCGCGCGGCGCGATCTGGTTCCCGTGGTACACGTGCCACGGGATGCGCCGCGCACGCCGCGGTGCTCGCCGGCGCCGCCATACAGGAGACTGGGGCTATATATAAACATATATAAACCGTATGAACGAGGCTGATTGGTTTCTTTATGTTTCTTTTGATGGACGACTTCTGCATGTTTGCTAGTTAGAAGTGGTACAGTGGTATTTGAGGAGATTTGAGGAGTGAGTGTGTCAAGTTCCAACTACCCAAAGATGGACCTGTCAGATCGCACAAAAACACCCGAGGAGACCCTCACCCATGCGAATGGACGCAGCGGGGTATACGTTGCTGCCGCACCACGTGAAGGCACAGCGGGAACCCATCAAGGACCGGCGCGCACTACGACCTTTTGTTGCACGGAGTGGAGGCAAAGCAGGACGTTTTAAAGATCTCCACGAAAAAACAAGCGAAGTGAACAAAACATTATTACATATTATGTATCTTTTTGGGGAGAGGAAGCGTGAGGAAACAACCTGTATGGGCGTCGCTTAACGCGTGTTTGGTCGATGTTCCACAGCCGAACCAGGTGTCCTTGCCAGTGTCCTTGCCTCGTTGGAGCAACATGTTCCAACCAAAAACGCACTGTCACACTGTCCGGACGTAATTGCCATGTAATTACCCTTTCTCTTTCACCATTTTTGTTGCTTCAATGTTGAGTTTTAGTGCTTAGTTTGCCTTACATCCATCATTTGACGAAATGGCGTCCTCTTTTTAACCACTGTTGTGGCCAAAAGAAACGAACAATGATCCATCAGGAGTACTTGGTGGCCAACCCTGTGCCGGTGCAGCACTTTACGCTCGAGACCAAGCGCTGAGATGGTTCGAAGAGTCGCGATGGCCCAAAGCATGGCCTCGCGACCGCAAGTTAAGCTGAAGCCAGAAATCGCGAACTCCAAAGAACAAGCCACACTCCTACAAGACACTATTTTCAGCCCGTGGCCATGCCTCCTTAATTAAGTTGGCACCGACTTAATTAAGGGAGTAAGCTCCTATAGCTACTTAAGGTACTACAGATGGACGCAGGATAGCTCACGCATCTCCAAGGAAGCTCTTGCACGTAGATGTTTAGGGAAACTTAACAAACATACCAAAATGCCCACACTCCTCTTAACATTCCTGGCCCCGCCCTTGTTTGGTTTCATGTTTCATGTTGTGACACGGTGTTTTCCTGAAGAACAAATCCGATATATCAGGTCTAAGGATTTCAGACTGCAAGACCAGGTCAACCGTTCCACGTACGTTCCACGTACGTTCTTTATTTCTTCGAGGTGAAACCCATGCGTTCTGGTGTTGGAGTTTGAGGGGTCCGAAAAGTGGTGATTTCCCCTGTCTATTTGTTGCAATGTGACACTGTGTCCAAGATTGGCCGGTTTCGGTTTGAGCTTTCACGTGTCAATGCTGGCTGCCCCCGCGTGTCAGCCACGCCGGGCTTTCCTCAGAAAAGGTGCGGAGTCCTGCGCTGCGTTGAATGCACAGTTCTCACGGCGCCAAATTCAGTCCAACATCAGATTAGGATTTTACAGTGGATCTCTCCATCAGATTTCTGCGGCCAGATGTTGGAAATGCCTCAGATTGGGATTTTTCCTCACAGCTATTGAGAGATCAATTCGCTCCTTCTTCCTCGCAGAAGGAAGGAGAGTGCTATCAAATGGCCAAGGAACCCGTTCAGAGCTGATCCCAGATGTTGAGATGATTTGGATTTGGGCAGTTTGTTCAGAAGGTAGCTGGGTGCCACTTGGGTTGTCCCCACCAACCAGTTTGCAGTCCAACAATGACTAGCATAGTTTCAGTAGGGATTCGGATGATCCCGAATCAACACGTGTCGCACGGATTTGACTCCGCAACGTTCGCATTACAATGCTTTTTGTGCGATCCATGGTTTTGTCGAAGCCTTCAGTGCCACCAGTGGCCTGAAACCAGGTGAAACCACTGGCCCCCACAATGATTGGACAAAAAATGACACGGATCGTGAGTCACTTGAGTAGTTTGGGGTAGGGACCCTGAGGTCCCTGAGGTCTGAAGCTGTAAGCTGGTTGCAGCACCAGTTCCCCGGTGCATCTGGTGCATGTGAAACACCCAAGTCTTTCAGACCGATGCCCCCACACCGTGCTGTGCTTCAGTGACCCGACCCACAGCGCTCTCGGCCAGGAGGAGGTGTCGTTGCGCTTCCTCGCTCCAGCATCGCCAAATGTGCCACTTGGTGGTCGGAAAGATTGCAGCTATGGCGTAGAGGTGGGAGCCATGCAGAATGATTTGCAGACCAATCAATGCTGATCCATTGGTGTCATTCGCAGGAACAAACGTGTACCTCTATTTGTTCAGGTGCTGCCGGATCGTGTCACACGTAGCGCTCACCGGCCGGGCCGGGCGGTTTTCGTCCATGGTTTCAGAGGTTCGACAGGACAAGTGACCCCAAGCTTCGGTGCCATGGATCCTCCCATCTTGATACATCATCCAAATGGTGCCGAATGGCCTGGAGAGTGAGGCGCCAGACCACTGGTGCTGATGTTTCAATTGGTGCAATCTACTCTGAAACCACTGGTCAGACGGATCAGAGTTGTATGTTTTGGTGCAATCACGGATGACATGGAAGAGGATCAAGACATGGATGAGGCCTCTCCTCGATCCGAAAGATCCTGTATGAGGCTTTCGTAGATGTGAAGATAAACTAAAGATAAGACTTCTTCTAGATGTCCGCGATAGATTTGGTGGGTGGTGCACACATACATCTACCCCAATATCTTTAAACAAAGAAGCTGTTATCCTGGCTGTAAAAGCCCTTCCCATGATTTTGGTTGTTGCAGGCGTTGGGTTAAGATGTGTCGAGATATATCCAGTGCACAAATGGTATGGCCTGCTGAAAACCAGTATTCCTTGCTGTTTGGCCAGGTCTACCCCAAAACCAACCACTATCCGCTCACTATCCAGTGCACAAATAAATGGTGTGGACTTCTGAAAACCAGTATTCCTTGCTGTTTGGCCAGGTACTCGTACACCCCAAAACCAACCACTATCCGCTCACTATCCAGTGCACAAATGGTGTGGACTTCTGAAAACCAGTATTCCTTGCTGTTTGGCCAGGTACACCCCAAAACCATCAACTATGTTTCTCAATAATTGAGTGAGCCCAGGCCAACCCACATGAGTTCAATGTTTGCCATGCAATCTGTTGGGCAGATGGGCAGATGTCATCTTTTAGACCTATATCATAGAAAATAGAGCTTGTATTCATGAATATGCTCATTGTATATAGTGGCCATATTGTTGCAGTTTTAGGCGTATATGGTAGGGGTATACCTCCAATCATCATGACACATCATATGATTCATTGCAAATGATGTTGTACAAAGTAGTGGAGAATAGCAGCAATACAGTTTACCTCCTTCGTCGTTATTTGAACATTATGTATTTGAATTCAAACATTCCGTACTTGCAGCGAAGGGGGTTGTGCTGAAACGGCAACAGGCTTGTGTTCCAACGTTTACACGTCCGACTCGGTGTGAGTGAGTGGTTGTTCTCGTTTGGCACTCAAACATGTGGCGAAACAATGACTCAAACAGAAGGGACCCCATCCACTGAGTGGCACGACGTGTGGCGCGGGTCCGGCTCTTTGCGGAAACCATCTCCATTTCTAGCGTTCTTGTTCCGTTCGGGTCCGATGCGAACACGTCGGTTGGTTCGTACCGTCTCACTGACGTCGACGGTCGGCGAAAGCTTGCGCCGTCTCAGGCTCGCGTTCTTCGTGGTCTTCTACGGCGACGCGCACTTCGGCAGCCTGGTCCGGGTCTCCCAGACGCAGACCGTTCCCACGGAGGTGGTAGCTGCGGTGGTCGCCCCGGTGGCGGTGGTGGTTTCGTGGTCAGAACCGTGTGGTCCCGTGTCCGTCCCGCGCGTACCGTTGTTTAGCCATGGGCAGATGGATTGAGCAATCCCACACATATTGTTCTGCCTGATTGCCACCCTATAATTACTACCAATATGTATTTGGTTCACAGGAGGCAAATTCCTTCAAGTGCTCCTCTTAAACTGCACGTCTCAAAGAAAGATACGAGCCTTGGCTGCTTTGATAGGTCTTTGAATCATTGAAAGCTAAAACCGGAAAGTGCTCCGTCCACTTGGTCAAAGAGATTGGTTCTTGACCGAGTCGGATGCTAACTGAGTCGGTGTGCGAAACAAACGGTGTTTCGTCGTTTGCATCGCTTTTTGGTCGACGTGACTCGACGTGACTCGACGGTGTGTCACTTCTGGGCTAATCTGGGTCCCATGGTGTTCTGCCGGAGCTTTTGCTGGAAAGAAGTTTCTCAAGTTGGTGTCCCATGGTGTTTTTTACTCAACCTCGATAGCGTTAACTGTTGATTCATGATTCTAGTTGCTTGCTGTGGTCCCCACACACTTTTCTCTTGGAATGAAGCTGTTGCAGATCATCGCCGGAGATGGTGTTTTCTGAGTGAGATCATCCCGTGCATGGGTGACTCCACGCAAGAATCTGGCTCGCCATTCTAATAACTAATTCTTGTTTCTACTAGCTTCTTGTTAGCAGTAAGGCCCTTGCTCCTAGCAGTACGGCCAGGAGCCCCTAGTAGCGTCCTTGCTCTACTTAACCCATCTGAACCCGACCCGATGCTAAGCGCCATCTCAATCCGTTCCATCTCGATGACGTGGGGAGAGTGCCCTTGTCGAGCGCAATTCATGTGGAACAAAAAAAGCACCTTAAAGGCCTAATTGGCCAGCGAGGCTTTTTGGCCCCCGCAGGAGTCAGATGAGTCAGTGACAGTGGTCATGTCGCCTCCCAATGCAAGAGTCTCCCATGGTCCTCGTTGGCAGAACCTCCTCGGATGGCAGCAATGACTCGTTCGAACAAATTGTTTGGACCTCGCTGGACCAGCCTCGCTGAGTGACCCGGGATCTCCACTGGACACCCAGACGATCAATGGTCGTCCGACTTTCTGTCCACATCCCAGTCGGGAGCAGTGATCGACATCAATGGTCGTGTAAGTCATTGGGGTGGTGGAAATCCACCAACAAAAACACAACATGTGTGCTTTTTGTGATATTGTATACAATCTCAATTGATTCAAGTCAGGTGGGTAGGGCACGACCAGGACCACGTTTTTTTTTGATCCTCCATAAACCCTGAGAAAACCAGTTGAAGGACTATTAATTGTATATATAATATACCCTGCAATGTTCCTGTTTGCACTGGGGCTACCAGAACAAAACGCTTCCGACCCCAAGTTGTAAAGCGTGAACCTTGGCACCGTCCCTTGTTGTTCAGAATTTTCCTAGCCCTTACTAGTCATGATCCACCAGCTTGTGGGTGTCCAATCATGACAAGCTGGTCACCGGAAGACGGAACCAGCGAGGTCACCGGGCAAGCGAGCGCTGTTTCCCTGCCCAGGTGGCAGTGCAGCTGGTCGAAGTGCAAGGCTTGCGCACCGAGCGGATTCGCCTGGCTGAGACCTCAGTCCAACTCCTTGGGACCGGTTTTGGCCTTCGGAGCGGGAGTCCATCCTTGGGGTGACTGGTTTTCCACAGAACGGACGGGAACACACCATCGAAGCTTCGTTTTGGTGTTGGTGCCGGTCGTGCCGGTCGTGCCGGCAAGTTACACATGAAAGCACACGCGAAAGACCTGTCTCTTGGCTGATTCAGCATCAGATATCCACCACAGCAGTGAGACACCAAACGCACCAAAAGGAAGCGCTTGATTAATCTTGATTATTCTTGGGATTAATTATTCTGGGTATAGGGAATTGCCCAAACTAGTGATGCAACGACATCATGATGCAGCATTTCTCAGTCTTAAGTGGGACATCCCCAGCCAGACGAATTGGGGGAAATCCAGTGGGCTTACGGTTAACCAATGCTGCCGGTGTCAAATTTCCTCTGAAATCTTAAAAAAATACATGAAAAATCATGAACATGTATACATGTCAAAGTATACAGAGCCCTGTGTAGACAGAGCCCTGGAGGGTCCAATGAGTTGTATACACAGGAGAGCACAGTCCAGTCCGCCTCACTCTTCACCTCCCGAGTTCGGTGCTCTGTCGCGCTCCCGTCTCGTCCTCGCGGCCCCAACGACCCAAACTCAGGTCGTTGGGCAGAGCATCGAGCGCTCCATTTGCGCCTCGGGAGGACAACGGAGGAAAAACGGTCATCCACGTACCCAGGAAACGTGGAGAATGCAGAAGCTTTTTGGAGGGGATTGGGGACCCCTCACTCAAATCCAACAGGTGGAACAGGGACAAACCGTGCTGTTGTCCAAGCAAAATGAGAGTCAGACAATCTGAAAAAAAGACATCCGGCTTCGGCCGGTTCTTTCGGCCTCAAAGAGCTTCCAAGGGCGAATGGCCGTCCAATCAAGTGAAGGCAGATGTGCGGGAACCCTGCCATATTACTACGTTGGACGCTGGTTTGGTTGATGCCATCAAGCAATCTCAAGATTATTTGAGGTTGTCATTGGTCATTATTTTTACTATATGTCGTTCAGTTGCTAGTGATCTGTCTATCTCCGGACCAAACTCAGGCGCATCTACAAGCCACTGTAGAAAGTAAACAACACTGAAAGATTACACCGGTGAAATCTAACATCTCAAAAAAGAAAAACAAAAATCCTTGTGCCGTGTTAGTGTGGCTGCTTTTGGCTAGTGCGTGTCCTTAAGATTTGGATCTATGTTAGTATTGAAAAGCTGTGGAAACAAACCGGAGAAATCTGGGTAAGGTTGGACGCTGGAGAGTCTAACGTGGCATAATCGAAAGCATGTTTCGAGCCACCTCGGGTGGTCTATGTTAGTGTGTGCGCCTGTAGCATTTCGGCTATCTCTAGCATTTCTGTGCGCCTGTAGCGTACTGGGTGTACGCTTGGGAACTGATGGCTGAGATATCACCAGATGATGATGAGGCTGAGGACTGTTGATGTTTTTTGAATTGCCACCATTTTGGGAGTGGGTCATTCAGCCAGCGGCTCACCAGGAGACGATCGTTCAATTTGCAGATACTGATGGAGAGAGCTTGTTTGGAGACAGGTTGAGCGCAACCAGGCTACAACAGCTAAATAGTGGGTGCGGGGGGGCACACATTCAAGAAGCCTGAGGCCACATTAACATAGAACACGTACAGCTGATTTGTAGGAAGGCGGAGGGCGGAGGCAGGTGGAGTGCAACTAGACTACAAGAGCTAGATTGTGGCGGGGGGGTGCTGACCACATTAACCTAGAACAAAAAGTGTGCGATGGGAGGGAGAGACTCAACAAAACACTAGACCTAATCAACATAGAACAAGGCCTGTGTATCCTAGACTGCCCAAACACGAAGCCATATTAACATAGCAACACGCGGTGATATCTGAGGTGACAGCCCCCCTCGGAGAAACCAACTACGATTCCTCGTGTAAAGACGAGGGCCAATGGCACAGGTGTGGACCGCACAGAGCTGGGGCAGCCCTTTGTGTCTGGATGGCCGTCTGCACGAGCAGTCCCTGACTTGTCTAAGTTTCCGCGACAATCTGTGGAAGAGGCAGCACGCTGGTGCCGCGAGGCATGAATGAACATGTGGTTCAAACTTGTATATATACCGGTGTGGTTCCAGGTTAGTTCGAAATTGTCCATCCAGGCCACATCGAAACAGCGAGTACAGTACAGTTCCACGTTACAGTAGTCATATACCCGGCTGGCAGGCCCCTGCAGTAGCAATGGAGTATGCGGAATCCCTCAAGGACAAGGGGGTGGCGAAGCCCGTCTTGTGCAGTGGAGAGACCCTGACGGTGTCTTCAGGCTTTTCAGGGTTCCTTGTCCACAGACTGGAAGTTGTTTCATACTCCCGCCACTGTGGAAAAGACTTTTATCATCTTCACTTTTATATATCCCAGGCTTGATGCAAGTGGCCGGGCTTGCAAAATTCTTCAAGCCCAAGAAAACTGTGGAGCGTGCTTCAATTTAGCTGCTGTGGTGCAAAGAGTAGTATATACCCACAGTATCAGTTATTGGACATACTAACATAGCTCCAAATCTCAAGGACACAAACTAGCCTAATGCAGCCACTCTAACACGGCGCACAGAGGTTATATTTGTTTATTTGATATTAGATTTCACCGGTGTATTGGTTTATTCTGGAATTTGAACTTTTGCGCGTGTTGGTGGTGGCCACTGCACTGTAGGTGAGCTGTGGCGACAATGACCCTGATGTGCAGCGCGGGCTTCTGGGTGGTCCATTTTTTCCGCGAGCATTGTATTTTCAGGGATGCGCCTGGGCAGGTATTAGACAACTGTGGTATGAGCTCAACATAGAACAAGGATGAACAAAGTGATTAGACACTTCAGGCTGGATACAGTACACCCCAAGATATGGTTGCCTAAACTCGAGTCACATGTACTGACACAACATGTGCACGTCAACATGGAACTGGATCCAGTGCAGGCACTGGACTACATTGATGCAGCCACCCGCAGGAGAGTGCTGCAAGCGACAACTTCTCAAGAGATCAATGAAGTGTTAGATGATGAGTCCGTGGTCTGGCAATCTCATGCAAGATGTTTGCGGCACCCCTTGAGGGTGGGGGGGTTGTCCAATATCTATAGGCTCTGATATTGATTCTCATCTCAATTGTCAATTGCATTTTCTGTCCAAACAAGAGTACAGTAAAAGCAATACAGCAGTACAGGTGAATTGCAGCACTCTGTCTTTCCTTTTCCCATACTCTACCTCCCAGCTCAGGATCTGGCTGGAGTGAGTTGCAAGGACGACAGCAGCATGGGCAGCAGGCGCCAGGACAAAGGAGAAGGCAGAAAAGCGGCATTAGTGTATTGGAGGCCATGGGGTGGGAGATGAAGGCAATCATTTACTGTACAGTATTTGTGGTTGGGAGAGTTTACAGCACACAAGAAGCACACCATCTTTCTGTGTAGTATTGTTCTATGTTAACGTGCGGGTGTGTGGGTGGAGTGTGCAGCATTTGTCACCTCCAGGTGGCATTGCAAGCACTACACCAAGATACATGTGCTCGAGAACGTGTGCACCGGGACCGTGCATGAGCTTGCTACAAGAACATTCGCAAACTATGGGGATTGCGATGTGAAGGTTGTTCATACAGCTCCCAGTGATAGTGGCTATGGTTGTTTCCGCCGGTTTAGAGGGTGGACCTGCGCTTAGTCCACATGCCACATGCTGAAGCGCACCAGAACATTTACAGTAACGTAGCGCGCGGCCCAAAAGATCTAAGGACTCTGGCACTCAGACGGAGTGCTGGCAGGTGGGTGTGTGACCCCCAGGATGTCTATGATAGGATGGCCACGGTGCTGAGAAAGCAGCAAGTTGGCATCATGGAAACATTCTGGGAAACGGATGAGGAACAGTTTCTAGCCTTGGTATTGGCCAGACATCTCAAGACATTTTTATGCACAGCACAGCAAGTACAGTAGATTAACCGCCTCAGGTTAACATGTTGTTTGTCTTTGTGCCTGAGGCTTGGTCTTGAAAGGCAACGATGTGTCACAAGGGGTCGGCCATATGCAGAATCCTTTGAGAAACTTGGCAAAGTTTGCCATAGGGGTTCTGTGAGGTGTTCCATGTTAAGGTAGTGATTTGTGTTTGTTTATATACAGCTGTGATGTGATCCCTCCCTTTGTTTGAGCCATTTCTGAGGCAAATGCTCACAACGTTTGAGGAAAACAATTTGAAGGCTTGTTGGGAAAAGCTGGATAAGGAGATGGGCCTTGAAGCCTGTTTCAAGTTCATGTTAGTCAACATGGACCAGTGTGTGGGTAGAAAAGCCATCTACAGCAGTTTTTTCCAACTCTGACAGTAGCCCCGGAGGATGATGTGTTGAAGAACCTGCGGGCATTGCACTGCGCAGTTCCTCAGCAGAGGAACCACGTGGTTCCTTTGCCAAGACCACAGGCGCCAACAGGCGGAAAAGCAATGGATGTCATGCATTGTGGGAAAATGTCGTGCATTGTATTTTTACTATAGTAGTATGTGTATTACCGGGACAGTTTTGCAAACCTTGATTCTTGGCAGGACCCTGTCCAGCCTGACTACCGTGGACCAAGTCTACAACCGGGAGCTGAAACGTTGGCTCACTGCCATTGAAAAGCTTAGCATCATGGGCTTTTGCACCACACCAGAGGTGTCACAGGTTTACAAGCAAGATCCTTGGAGCATTGTGTGTTCTATGTTCTATGTTAGTCAAGGTTTGCAAAATGCATTGAAACAAGCGTATGCAAAACAAAACCACCTCCTGAAAGGCAAAGTACGGTAAAATTTGATACGCCTTGGAAGCAGTGGACTTTGTGTTTGAAGGAAGTGATGACAACTCATTGCTGGCGGAACCTTCATGTTCGGTGTGGCAACTCACAGCACGTTCCAAACGCAGCTTCTCTTCTGCAAGTCAGTGAAGTGTCGTATGAACAAAGGTGTTCTATGTTAGCAGCTGTGTGCTGGGGGAACGGGATTTGCTTCTGGACCTGTTTGTGGATGGCAAAAGCTGCTTCCCAGGCAGAAATCCTTGGGTGGCACATACGTCCCAGGAGTGCTCTGGGCTTTTCTTCCTTTGAGGACACTCAAAAGGAGGTCAAGGCTGTAAAAGCATGGGCAAGCCAGTTGCCTATGATGCCTGAAGACACACGTGAGCGGCTGGAGCAAGGCCACAGCGCTGAACATGGTGACATCGCCGCTTAGATTGCAGTATATTGCAAGCATGTGGGATGCAACAATAACAATACTAACATAGAACAAAAGTTGGATCGCTTACAGTACTCGTTTGCGAGCTGATTGTTTAGGAGTGGGCCGCACGAGCGCTTCATCTCAATCTCCTCATGTTCACAGGGCATAAGATGGCCCCTGGTCTGTCAGCCTCTCAAACATATGGAGATAGCGATGGCGAACCTGTGTCTTTGTGGTCACACTGTTCCTTTGATGGTGCTGGACAGCCTGCTGCCCACTTTGATCTGATTGCAAAGGCAGGCATCTTCCACCAACGGTCCGTGGCACATTGAAGTACCGTACGTTACAGTATACAATACAATGCAGTATATACATTACAGTACCTCGGAACCCTTCACCCTGTAGGAGGAATGGAAAAGCTTCTTGACAGATGAGGAGGCAATTCCATTGCTTGGGTTTCTTACA